ACTGCTCTATATCAGCTAAAATGGCGTTGTATATGCTACATTATCATGGTCTCAGAGTATTGCTATATTTATAAGCAATTCAAAATCTTTCACTTTCGCATAAAATCCTTTATATTATTTATAAAGCTGATATTATGTAAAATATTTTTAAGAATAAAACTCTGTATGAATGTAATTGTAGTTTAATGCGAATAGAGCGTCTTATTCATCCAGCGCTTCACTTCAGCAAAAACAATTTCCCCATATCTGAGGAAAATTCAAGTAGTTTATATCCAATTACATACACTAATGAATCAAAAATTGAAAAGTTGGCTCAGCAGTTTATTTTCAAATTGCCATTTCAGATATCATCAAACGGAAAGGCCATTTCCGTAATATTAATAGCGCTTTCCATGCTGAATTGTCAGCCATAAAATCAGTGGCTGAAATAGCAATTCTTAGCTTTTTTAGCAATTATTCCCTTACCTCCTCTTTTTTGATTTCCGATATAAATTCTCTTCTTTAATTCCAAACTACAAAATTCAAACTTCATGGATCAAAAGACATAGTGGCCATTTTACTGGATGTGGGATGTAGGGTGGAATTGCACGATCTGCCATAATAGGTTAAAAAACCTTCAGCTGCACATTTACTCAACCTTTGCTTGTAACCTCTTAGAAAGCTTTCAATTTTTTAATAGTTAGTATAGGAAGGCATTACCAGTTCACCCATGGTACATCGCTGATGTCCCCCATACTTTTACCTGTACATGTGAATAGATTATAACTCATCAAATTAAAATATTGAAAATAAATCTGAAGGTTTTAGGTTTTATTGTCGCAACAGAGGGTTATTAAGGTTTATTTATTTTTATGTTTAATCAAAAAATTTTATGTTTAATCAAAACATTTTATGTTTAATCAAACTTTTTCAACAAAACTATTTTTGCTGCTTATAATCATACATGCATATATCTAGACAACGAGAATTTTATCCGCTTTATTTTCAAAAAAAATCATTTAACCATTCTTGAAAACTTATTTCTAACTAGATTTTTGAAATTCTCATTAACAAATCTCCTAGGTATTCGAACGGAAAATTTTATGGTACATTATACAGAAGTATACAATTAAATTAACGTATTTTATTACATTAAATTCTTAGAAAAATATTAGTGCAATTTTAAAAACTAAATAAAAATAAAAGGAAAAGAAAGAACATCTCAAATGATTCAGATTTTAACAATGCACCAAAGGAAAGGATTTTTTTTTAAGTTTTACAGGCTCTTGTTGAACTCGCAGTTTATCTATCTGCTTTTGGACGCACTCTTGCTGACACAACTTTTTTATATTTTTAACTTTACTCTTAAACATTACTTTCTTCGCATTTACGACACATAAAATTCAACAAAAAATCATAAAATTTTTTAAACAGCATATTTTTGGAATTTGTGATAGAGTGTTAAGCATTGCAATACATTTGTTAGCCAAGAAGGACTGCTATTCTCGGACTTGTCTTCTGCATTGAATCGCTTTTGTTGTTCGTTTCCCTTTTCAAACAACCAGCCATTCGCGCGGCCAGCTGTCTGAAAATATTAAAATAAAAATAAAAAATATGTATAATGTTTTTAATAAATCCAGCTAGTGTTATTTCATAGGTCCAACTGGTAATTAATAGAAGAGATATAGAACTGCGTTTATTTCTATAACTCGCTTAAATTTTTAATCTATAACAGATTAAATTTAAAAGAAAAATTATATATCTTACGCTTCACCAAACAGCATCAAGCTGGCTCTTGAAAGTTTAATTATTTTAAAACGGATATCTTTAGGATTCTCGAAAAACTATTAAATTTTGCCATACATTTAAAAAAAATTTGGTATATTATTTCTTTAAAAATGATACATGGGATAGGATTTGATGGTAACATCCTGTTTATATTGCCTTACTTTTTATATTAGCTATAATGTACTTTTAAATATAATAAATACAAAAAATAAGAAAATGAGAGATTTCAGAATTTAAAGGTCGCCCAAGAGTGTTTCTTAAGTTTTTTATGCTCTCGCAGAGTTGCAGTCTACCAGTCTGCTGTTGCATTCACACCTTCTAAACCAATTCCCCAATTTAGAAAAAAAAAAAAAAAAAAAAAAAAAAAACTTTTTGGCTTTTAAGCATCATTTTCCTCCCACTCACACCATATAAAATTCAACAGCAAGATTACAAAACTTTTTAAATTACCATAGAAGTATAACGTTTAGAATTTCCGATGCAGCGTTAAGTGTTGCCATACATTTTTCTTTTTTTTTTTTCAGTCTATTTTCAGTTTACATATCAATATCCAGTTTTATTATGCAGATGGCTTTACAAAATTTTTTTCTGTCTTATCATTATTATTTTGTATGCTTACTTTAATTATTAAGTATCACAATCTTGGCGCTTGCACCACATAAAATTCGATTCAACAGCAAAATAACAAAAATTAAAAAAACAGTGTATCTGTAGAAATTTCGAAAGACAGTGTCGCGCGCTGGAGAGAAAAATGTTTTTTTTCTTCGTATTGTATTTCCACAACTCGATTTGAAATCGCCGAGTGTGTTAATAAAAAATTCGCTAAAGTTTTCCAAAATATGGAATAGATAATTAAGCAAATTCGAAATTCAAAATTGGGACTTCTAGGTAGCCATGTTCGGAGGTAAGTCTATGTTATTTAAAATTTGATGGCTTTAAATACCGTTGTGAGTTGTTTCTAGGAACCGCTGTGTAAAATGAGAAATTTTATTGGTAATATGCAGACGAAATATTACTATACAGCTAAGTTCTTAACATAAGGTACTAGAAATATTTTTATTAACTACGCCAAGAGCGTAAATGATTAGGAACTATATTACTAAGGCATATTTATAAATTGTGCTAAATAGATATATATATATATTGTTTAGAAAAGATAAATGTCGCCAAGAAATTTTCTTCAAAAGCGTTCAGTTTATTTCACCATGCAACATTATCTTTAGAAGAGAAATAAAGAAAGATTTTCTGCCGTAGAACGGGTGATTAATGCTCCAGCAGTCTAATGCAATGCGACGCGAAAAATCAAAATACCGGTATTAGACGAGACGAAACGTACACCTTTCTAACAACTAAACAGATCGTTTTGTAACACATTTTATCGTTTTAATATTCTTTTTGTTTTATAACCGTTTATCGCTTTTCCTGTTCTCTCGCTTTAGTATTAAATGACAAGATTAAGTGCGGCATAGTACAATTTTAGCAATTTAGGGAAAACAATTAATACATCGGTTCTTATTATTCCTCACATAACAAATTTCCTTTAACGGTTCGAAATCTTCACTGTTTAGAAAGATCACACTTTGGACACATCATACATTTAAAAGATCAGCAATCATTATTAATATCATTAAGCTCCCTTTATTGATTTGACTTCATATTTGTTTTAACCTATCCGAATACATGTCTTCTTGTTAGGTTCGTTTGCAAATGATTTGAAAGAAATCTTAAAACTTTTATTGTTATCTGAAATCTAGTCTTCTGAAAAGGAAAGACATCTCGGCAAGGCACGCGAGAACTGCCTTAGGAAGTACAACTTCGTGGAGGACATTCCAAGGGATACTCGCTCATATTTCCGTTACACGTTGGTGAACAACAACACTCTATTTAAGGATTGGTTGGTTTGTTTCAGTACAGCAAAGCACGCTAAAGTTATCCACATAAGAGGAGGAATGCTTTCGGGGAGAGTTTTTTAAGGGAAACTGGCTCGTATACACGTTATACATGGGAAAAACTACCAAAACACCCATGCAGCCAGACCGCTCAAGTGGAATCGAACCCATATAATATCTGATGGTATTAACTGGTGGAACTACCAGTGTTCAGCTACTTTACTGTCAGCCGCTGGTGGCTTTTCGGCGGCTGGTGGGCTCTCTATTCAAAGGAGCCAAACTAGTCAGCACAATGGCGGGAGACGAATGCGAGAAATTTACTAAATAACTTATTACCACATATATTCCCTAGTTAAAATATTTTCTTGCTAAAGTTAAGTTTCTTTTCAAAGTTAAGTCTTTTTCAATGCTTTTCGCGATATTTTTCAAAGTTATTCAACTAAAATACAGAAAATATTTTAATTGAGCTATGCATTTTTAAGTAAGAAACATACTTAGAAAACGACCAAAAATTCTTTCATGAACTAGTTTTTTTGCGGAATACTCGAACTTTTTAAACTATACATTTAGAATTCCAGATTATTTAATAAATCATGCATTTCTGTTCTGATACCACAAAAAAATCTCCACGCAAGACCGGTTCGAATAATAGGCGGCATAGGCAAGCAGTTATCCGAGGGTGCGAGCTCAAATGTTCTTCTAAGTGCAACTAAATAAAGGCATATTTTGATTTGAATGTTTAATATGTTTTAATTTATACGGGATACCAGATGTATTAATTGCCCAAGTTACTGAAAACGTTGGAGCCAGTTCGTCTTCATGTTTATATGGAGCAGCATTACCAAAACTTCCAAAATAACAGTAACTTACAAAATCCGGGGCATACTTTGAAATGGGCGCTAAAATCCATTATGTATCCGGGATCGTCTCGCACAATCCGAAACGTTTGGTCCTATTACCTTAGCATTAAAATGTCTGCAGGCTTACGATCTTTCTCTTGTTTAAACAAAAACATTCTGTTTAATTTAGAACACCCATATTAGAAAGTTTATTTGGATTTCCTTAGCACTCGGTATAGTAGTGATAAAACTTTTATAAATTATTAGAGGTATATAAATTATTTATTTATAAATTATTATTTATAAGGCTTTTATAAATTATTAGAAAAATATTCATTATTATACTAAGAAGTTTGCCTCGAACAATGAGCAACACGTGTTAATCCATGCTTAGATAAGAGGAAATTCTACTGTATTAATGTTAAATGATTTAATTTTCATTTCGGAAATGATTTTCAACACAGTTTTGGATTTTCAAGCAATATAATTTCTAAAAAAAACATACCTTGGAGTGTTATATTGACACTGTTGAGTCCTATCTTCACCCCTACGTTAGCTGAGATTTTCTCTTTGGAGAATGCCCTGTAAGGACTAGATATTGTGGCTTGGGCTACATGCCATTCTGTGCCATAGTTGGAAACTGCAATAATAAATAAGAGGGATTAGTTTAAATAAATAACAAGAACAAATGTTTTAATAATTTAATGCATAAAAACAAGTGCATTGCCAAAATAAATGAATTCTGAAAACAGAAATAAACACTGAAGCTTGCTCTAAAATTCAGTTTTCCATAGAAATATCGAGTATGGCTACGCCAAAAAGAATTTTACTATAATGGCGTGCATTTCATCTAAATAAAAATAACTAAATTATTTAAACTTCTTACTATAAGAAATCTAAACTTCTTGACAGAAATTAAATCTACTGTAGATAATTTCTAAGAAAAATAAACGCAAATGTGAACTTAGATTTATTAATTTAATAACTTGAAAATACATTTCTCCTTTCTCATGCGTTAAGTTTGAAGTGTAATGTAAAATAAATAGAGTGGATTCTGGATGTATAAAATAAATGTAAGTTTGCAGTAAAAAGTTAAAATGATTTTGATATAAAAGTAAATAAGAATTTGTGGACAGAAAATGTGGATTTTTTGATAAAAAAGTAAAAGTGGATTCGCGATGTAAAGGTAAATGTAGAATTGTGATTTTTGATTATTTAACTTATCTCAAATGCACTTTTTAAATTATATTTTTGGAATAGAAAAGGATATATTTTGTAACACGTAGCTGTCTTAAGTTTTGATATTTTTACTGGAAAGGCAGTACATATTTTTGTCAGTACTTCTGCTTAGCAAGTGAAAATTTTACAAACTGGAGGGATTTGAAATATGATCAACTTCTATTCGAATACCTATTACACACACATATACACACATAAAGGGATTTATTAAAAATTGCATTAGGGTTCTTTAAAAATATAACATTCTATTAATCATAAAATTATGCAAACTTCACCTGTTATCTTTATTTTACACCCGAGGATTCAATAACATCTTCAACATGCTTTTATTATTTTAGCTTCTTGGCATATAAACCATCAGAAATAAAATTCCTCAATTTCAGAAGTTACATATGCAGAAATACATGACTCTATTAATCAATTTTGCGAATTTACAAAATGTTTAATTATATCTACATATTCAGTGCCAAATCAAAAAGTAAATTGCGTAACAGGAAAATCTGATTTATACGATTAATTTCAACTACTTGACGTTAAATACCATATTAGTTGACATACATTCACTTGCTTCATGTATAGGAAATATAGATTAAAATGCATTCCTAATTAATGAGATTTAAATATCTGCTCGATGTTAAGTACTTAATTTTGAAATTTCTCAGCTGATGACAGTTTACTGACTCTTTGATAAAATAATAAATGAAAAATTTAACTTTTGATGATTAGCATTTTTCATTATAATGTGGATTGGTTAATAATTGGTTAGCAGAATCATACAAAATTAAGATGACAATGTATAACTCTTTTAGTATATAGTGGAATTGTTATGCTGACTCATAAAATATAAAATTTTCTGCCAGTTCATAAATTCATTTCAAAGCTTATGTTCGTGTTGAGAATAAATTTAAAAAATGTCCGTCGAAAGAAATAATAAACTCATTAAGTTCAAGTACTTCGTCTCGAAGATCCTTATTTTCAGTTTCGTACAATTTCATTTATATAAGCATTTATAAGAACCGATGCTGTGATTTAAAAAAAAATAAAATATAATTAATTAAAATAGAAATTGCCTGTTATTTTTATATGAAAATCGTACGCTAATGCACCAGAAACAAACATTTATCATTAAAATTTTTATCTTCTGATTATGTAAAACATACTTGAAAGGATTTGGAAAAGAATTTTCTGAATTCAGCAAGAAATTCAAAATACTAATATAAAATTTTTACAAAAATTGCAGTTTTTACGCAGAAGGAATATACTCTTCGGGAAATTTTTTATAATTTCTCAAATGCTTCATATGAGGAAAATATTTTTTTCTATAAAATAACAAAATCTGGAAGCATTCAGATTTTATATTACGCCCAAAGGGGCGTTTTCTTAGCTTTTATTTATTAAATACCATAATCTTTGCATTTAAACCACATTCGATTCAATTCAACAGCAATATCACAAAATATTTAAAAAGAGCATATCTTTAGAATTTCCGAAGACAGTATCTTGCGTTGGAGATAAAAATGTTTTTTTTTTCGTACAGTGTTGACAATGATCGCTTTGAAATCCTTGAGTTTGTTTATCGAAATTCGTTAGAGTTTTACAAAATGTGAAACAGATAATAAAACAAATTCGAAATTCAAAATTCTGATTTCCAGGTGCCCATATTCGGGTGGAGGATTACGTTATTCAAAATTTGATGGCTCTAGGTATTTTCGTTTTTTCACAAGCAAGAAACACATCTGAATTCATGCACATTCTCCTTTATTTAATTTGTTTAAAATAATACAGTGCGATAATATTTGGCGGCAATAATTTGAAAAGTGATTCAGAGTTTTATAGCGACTCAACTCAAAATTTCTTTTCGAGGCGTATAATAAATAGCCCTTCTGCTCCTTTCGGCTAAAAAGAAAATGCTGGATTAAGCAAAATATGAATTTGTCAAAGATATCAACTTTGTTTCTGTAAATAAAAATTTCGATATCCTTACCTAGAGAACACTTTTTAACTGAATGATACATGTTTCACAGACTGATTGGCATCAGGATATTTTTGACTAAAATATGAAGTAACCAATCTGTCTCAATTGATACATAGCAGTAATTAATTACAATTTTAATTAACAAACACTACCTTATTTAAAATTTGCAAATGGTTTTTAGGCACCGTATGATATTGCATGTACAAGGGAAAGTACTCTGAATTATAGAGTTTAAATATAATTAAACTATTATATACGCATCAAATTATAATCTGACATCCCTTTTTCCAACTATCACCTACCTATACCAGCTTACATCATTATTATAAGAAACGAAGAATTTTCTATTTTCAAATTAAATTATGAATAATTCGAATAGTTATCTAATTGTTTATTTATTTATTTCTCTTTTTATTCTCATTTATATCAGATATTCGATAAATGATGATGTCATCTAAAATGGTAATCTCTGTATTTTTACAGTGTTTTGGGAGTGGAAGGAAGCTTTTTGAAAAATAATACTAAGAGATCTAATAGGCTTCTTTCAATCACTAACTTTTTCTTAGCCAAAAGGTGCGTTTGCACAGAAGAGTTAGTCTCAAAACTGGATTTTGCACTGAATCACTATAAAACTCTAAATCACTTTTCAAATTTTTGCCATCAACTATTATTGCCCTGTATTAAAGAAAGTAAATAATGAAGATTTGCATGAACTTATGCATGTTTTTTGCATTGTGAAAAAAAAGTATATAGAGGCATCAAATTTTGAATAACTTAGTCGTCCACCCGAATATTAGCCCCTGGAAGCCCGAATTTGGAACTTCGAATTTGTTTTATTGCCTCTTTCATATTTTGTAAAACTTTAACGAATTTTTCATTAATAAACTCAACGATTTCAAAGCGAGCAGTGGCAGTACTTTACGTGAAAAATTTTTTTATCTCCAGTCCGCAACACTCTCTATCGGAAATTTACATAAGATAGGCTGTTTTTAAATACATTAGCACAAATGTTCTCAGGGGTATGTGCATGTAAATGGAAAAAAAATGGCGCACCTTTGGGCGTAATATAAAATCTGAAAGCTTCCAGTTTTTTTCTTTTTTTTTTTTTTTTTTCTTTTTTTAAGAAGAATTAAAAGAAAAATGCGTTATCACGTATAATATAATGTTTCAAATAATATCATTGCAATTAATTTATACTGCATAATTTGCAGCATGTATAATACAATATTTCAAATAATATAATAGTAATTCATTAATATTTTAAAGAATCTGTACCGTTTCATTAGCATTCACTTGGGAAGGATTACAGATACAAATCAGATTATATGAGTTTTGAGAGAATATGAGCTTGATAACATGATCACAAAACCTATATGTATTCTTAACCTGCATGAGTTACTGGATGCAGGTCATCGAATGCTGAGCTTGTAAAACAACACACGTAATCTTCATTAAGTAATAACGAGATTTTAAGCTGCACAGATCAAAAGTTTCATACTGTGCTAATAAGATATAGAAGCTTAATAAATAACATGTGAAATAGGAAATTAAAAATCTTTTATTATAACCCGAAGAAGAAATCTTCACTTGTGAGTGTGAAAAATTAGTTTACTAAATTCTCTGCTTAGCACACAAAAATATTCTTACATTGTCATCCCATTCCATTCACAGTGATCAGCATAAATTAGATTCTTTTCTTGGGAACTAAAGATTTTATTTTCAAAGAAAATTATTTTTTCCTTTTTAATCCTCGATCGGTTTTTGTGAATAATTAATTTATTTTAAAATTATGTTGTTGAATAATTTCTCATCATTTACTAATATGACAGCCCACTGACTTGAGTTAGTGCTAAATAGAGAAAGAATATGACATTGATCAGTTTTACACATTTAGATGAAGGTGAAAATTATATTAATTTTGACCGTTATCAAAATAAAGAAATATTGTTTGAATTTTTTAAAAGATATTGATAAAATCTCTTCACAAAGACACACTCATCGCCTGTTTGCTGCAAACTATAATTGAAAATCATAAGTAGATGAGTATGTGTGAGTGTAATTACATTGAATGAAAAAAAAAGAAATGCTGATTAGTTTACTACAAAAACCAGACAATAGTTTCCTGAAAATCAGAAACATAGCTTAGGCATAGTTTTGAAAATTGGCTTTTAGGTGTTCGAAGCTTCAATGGGGATAGAGTTTCAATTACTAAATTACGCGTTCCATTCCCGCTATTTCCATTTAAACTGAAAGGAAAATTTCTGCAGTTTTGTTATTTATTTCAACGTCTAAAACTAGTAAAAAAGTTACTGGCAGTTTGACTATTTTAAGGAGTTATAACGGAAATGCTTAAAAAATCACTTTAAACATTAAGTTTTTGGTTACTGAAAATAAGTTGTCTTTTTATATACTTAAGAAAAGAGACC